TTACTTTTAAGTATATTTAATATATTTAACATACTTTTGCTTTCAAGTAGAGTGTAATGACGACTGAAAATTTAGTTTTAATTTTCTACAAAATGACTCCTCAGTTCACTTAATCAAGTAAGATGAAATCAATCGAATAGCGTCAACTAGAATGCAACGAATAGAATCTCACTCTCTCTCACTGCATTGTCCTCTTTTTTTTTTTTTTTTTTTTTTTTTTTTTCATTTTCCAAAAAATCATTACCTTAAGCGTCGAGCGGAAGAAAAAGGTAAAAAGAGGAAAATATATAGCCGATAAAGCTCGAATCGACATTAACTACGGACCGGTTCCCCACGCGAGGTCCGCGCATCCATCCCAATGTCCCGTGACACGAACGTACGTACATACATGCGCCGATGGACGATGGTATAGTCGTGTTTCCTCGGTACACAGCCGTCGAGCTGCAAGTTACGAGCTATTTATCTCCGTATTTTTATTCCGTCGGGAAAGGCGATATTAAATTGCTTCTTTCGCGGCAGTTCCGTCCTACCGCCGTGCCATCCGGGAAACTCGGCCTCTGACTAGCAACCTTATTTCCTACTTCCTTCAGGAGCATACCGCACGTATCGTTGAGCTGCTTCATGCGTGGCTACCATTATTTGATGCAGGGAGCACGCCCGTGAAGTAAGAAGTATCCCTAGCTGGGATATTCGGCCGAGAGTAATAAATATGGCTAGAAAATGAAGAAACCGTTTCTTTGGCCGTCGTTCGATTCCTTTGAAAATGCATCGGATGGACGTTTCGCTCGGTTCCATTTGGCGGAAGTTGGGTGTTTTATAGAGTAGAGTTTGAAAAGCGAGATATTTGAAGAAGATTGTGTAGATCTTGCAATTTCTTCATGTAGTATAGAATTTTAATTTTTTAATTATTAGAACTTTTAATTTTTTGCATAGAATTTTTTTTATATTAATAACACTACAAATATGTATAATAACTATAATAAGAAATAATATGTATAATAAGAGTTTTAGAAATTTAAGTAATAGTTTCGAAATAATGGACTCAGAATGGTGCAGTTTTCAAAGTTCGAATGAATAGAAGTTTGTATGTTCTTCTCTGATACGCGATATATTTCACATTAGACTACTAAAATTTTGGGTACTTCGTTCAAACGAAATATTCCAAAATTTATAATTTAAACTTAAATCATCATGGTCCCCAATGTCTTTCCTGTGATACTAGTCTCTATAATTAGAATTCCGTAAGAAAAATTACTAGCTAATTGCAACTAAAAATCTAGAATTTAACAATTCTAGATAAATCATTTTTTAAAATATTAACTTTGATGAAATACACTGACAAAGTAAGCAAAACAAAGATATTAAGTGGACATACGGATACGTAACTTTCAAATTACGTGAAACACGATGATTGTAAAGACTTCAGAGTTAAATAGGTCAAAGGACAATCAAAATCGTCCTTTATATCCACTATTTATTTCCCATTGATCGAAGGGAAAAAGGGAACAAAAGAGCTTCATCTTGCGTATCCTGGTAATACGATCGAAATCGAAATTCCACTTGGAGCGGCTCCTGGATGGAAAGCTTCAGACGGTGAAACGCGGCCGGCTCGGTGGCAAAACAAAAGTTAGTTATACGCGGATTTCACGGAGTCGTGGAAAATAATTCCTCGATATTTTCGTCCCGATTCGAGTCCGCGCGGCGGGTTATGCAAAATCCTCGGCATCTGTCGATGAAATCCCGCTGCCCCGACGCACCGTCAGGCGTGAAATTTTCAATTTAGTTCAAGCCAATGACCGCTCGATTCGCCGGACCTCGCCTCGCTCCCGCTTCTTCCCCAAGATTCCAACCATCAGATTTCAACTTAAGCCGGAAAAACGCGTCGTCTACGCCAGTTTTTTTAAACGTAGATATTAATACTCGCGTATGCGCAACTTTAAAGAAAGTAACTTTGAAAAAAGATCGTACAACGACGAACCTACGTGGATTTGTCTTAAAGAGCGAAGCCTTGAGTTCGTTTCTCTCTTTCGAAGGTATTTTAACGTCATGTAGCAAATGAAAAAAAAAAAAAGTGAGGGTACTTTCATTCGGAAAAGTCTGTAGAAAAATTCATTTACGATTGAATTCAATTCAGTCTCGAAGTTCCCTCTTCGTAATACTACGATCTTTTTCTCGCGATCTAGTTTTATAGAACGTTAAACTATTTCGGTGTCACGCAATGGCGAATATTAGGATTTCTTAAATCCCTGTCGCGGTGGTGGATCAACGATCTAGAAACGGTTAAAATAATTTATCTCGGCGTGCTACGTTCCACGATACGTGTAAATAACAGTAAGTAATTCCACGTGTCGGAAGAATATTTTGTTCCTCGCGATTTTTAACGTACGACACCGGTGATGTATAACGTGTTTCCGGATACGCGCGGAAGTTGAATAAAAAGCCGGGCAAAACGAGGACGCGCCGGAGCGAGCGAAACGCTGAAAAATGATATTTCTCGCGGGGCGCTGGCAAAAACGCGTGAAATCGAACAACGAATTAAATGATACGATATATATTACGCGGGGAGAGGGAAGGGGACGAAGCGTGGGAAAGTTGTACGGCTTGTAAAGGTATTTCAAAGGGATTATTTGAAACGTGGCGTTCGCTGGGTGCATCAAATACTGGAGATTAACGTCACACACTGACGTATTTCGTTACTTTGACGATGCAATTCATCAGTTTCATCCCGTGAACGCCATAAATCACGCTGGACTTATAATTAAAACATTTACCGACAACGCGAGATTCAGTCTGGACGGGAACTGGAGGAAAATTGACATTTCAATGGAATAAGAATTGAAAAAAATATATCGTTTGATTGACGAACTGCAATAGCTACTTAATAGATACCAATAGTAAGTAATGATGACGATTCGTAGTAATTTGAGCCCTTGAGGAGTCAAACTGATTATTTCGATAAATAAATAATTAATATTCAACGTGTAACAATTCTACATCTTTATAAATGTAACTAAGGAATGAAAGTTAAATGGAAATTTGCTGTCGTAACGAATACTATGTTTCCAATATTTTATATCGTATTATAATATATAAATTTTTGTGGTTTTTTAGAAACTTAAATCCCCTTAAAAATCCGCAGTCTAATTACAAAGAACAGTTGCAAAATCCAAGTTAAATGATAAAAAGTTTATTAAAAATATAAGTTCATTAAGTATAATGATTAAAATTTTTGACCTTTCAAGTGTTTTTTTTTTTTTTTTTTTTTAGAATGTTTGCATGATTTTAAAGAAATTATCTGCTGTCTAGAGTTGAGAACAGAGAAAGAACTGAATATCCCAATTCAAGCCTAACTCAATTAAATTAAATTCAATCTGTCGTCTTTCACTTTTTCCTCTGACTCGTTTACCGCGTTGATGTGGCAAGTTCGTGATTTTTCTTACTTATTTTATTATTGAGAAATTAATTTCTGTCGCAGGTGGAAGATTCGTGGTCACGTCTCAGGGGGATCTGCACATCCGAGCCACCAGACCGGAAGACGGCAGAGCCACCTACTCGTGCTTAACTTTTCACGCGTTGACTGGTGAAAGGAGAAGAAGCGAGCCAGCAACGTTAACAGTCACAGGCATGTTACCCTCAGTTTTAGAAATGCAACTACTTTCTTTCTACTGTCAGACACTCTGCTTGAGAATTTTGCCTCATATTATATTAAGACTCTTCTTTAGTAGAAAGTTAAATTCAAATAATTCAACTTCATTCAGATACGATTTAGATATTTTATTCAATCATTAAAAAGACTGTTTCTTTTTATTTTAAATATCTATCATATTTATTATTTACTAAACGTACCATTTCATTTCATTTTAAGCATCATGTCGTTTATAATTGTGATTATGTTACACGTTACATTACACTGTCGCATTTATTCAACATTTCACGCTATGAATTGTAGAAATTTTAACCCCAGTTAAATTTTAATCGAAGTATCAAATAACAATGTTGATCGCAACATTATGTCACTATTAATCCATTCATATTTACACGAATATCGGTCCATCTAATTGTGTTTTCTCAAACTCTATACTGTAAATCGAGGCAAATTTTTATTCAAATTAAATTGAATACAAAACGTCAAATAGAATATTGTATATAATTAAAAAGATACAGAAATATTTTATGCGCGAAATATTATAGAAAACGCCATTCGGATATTTTATATACTTCTTCATATTATGCGCCTTCCTATACAATCCTTTCATGAAAATGCATGCAAAAGGAGAAATCTAGTAAATATTTTTAACTATTAATCCGTTCACGTCAAAATTTTATTTAAACTGAAATATTTACTCATAGTTATGCATTATACATGATAATTACATCACATTGAAAAGAATGAATTATTAAGAGAATACATAAATTATTTCAATTTCAGAACCAACGGGATCTATGCCACCACGATTGATGCAGAGATCTCAGATCGCCATCTCGGCGGAAAGCGGCTCGGACGTTCATCTAACTTGCTCAGCCCAGGGGAGCCCACCCCCGCAATTTACTTGGTATCGCGATGTTAACGGTTGGTTTAATTAGAGGATTGTTTACTATGTAATCTAAATGTACTATAGTATCATACAATCTAGCTGGATCGACCCATATCGGTGTCGTTTAAATAATTATCTGTTATTTTGGCATTTGCTTTCGAATAATAATTATAATCAATAAAAAGTGACTGCCTATAAATACTTCAGAATAATATAAATTTGAAATAATCGGATTAGAATAATTAAATGGGTATTCATATAAAATAGAATAATAGACACTAGAATAAAATTAGAATTCAATGATATTAGGAAATAAAATGATAAAATAATAGAATAGTAAGAGAATTAAATAAACGATGCGGGTTAATGATTAAATTTTTGGAGTAATAAAATTCCTATAAACATTTTAGACTGATTAAAATGAATAACTAGATAATAGTATAAAATGAAGAATGCACTTTCGTTGTAAAATTAATTTACATTAATCGGCACGTTAATTTTTACAATTTATCTTAAACATGCCAATTTGCTTTCACTCGTCGCTTTCAATGAAACTGCACGAGAGAAAGCACGATAAGCGATGTATCTCGCGTTAGCGAAAGGAGTATCAGGCATCAAGCGATGGTTATCCTGTTGTTGCAGGCCATTCGATACCAGTGGAGTCATTTGGCCGAATTCAACTGTGGGGTGATTTGATGCAAATTCGCCGCGTAGACGCTCAGGACGCAGGAAGGTACATTTGTCGAGCCAGCAATCAGGTTGGCGAGCAACGAGCGGAAACACACCTGTCGGTCACGTCAAAACTTAACGCACGGATACAACCTCGTGTTCAGGTAGATCTCTGCATTTACAGTCGATCACAAAAACATTTTGACATCCATCCTGATTTTGGGTGTTACGCTTTATACCTCGCGTAAATTTAAAAAAGTTATGCTCATGCCCGGTAAAAAAAAGTGAAAAAAACTATTCATTTGTTTCTAACGATTAAAAGAAAGTATTTTTAATGATTAAAAAGTAAATCAAAGTAGTTGATTCTGATGTCACAAAATCATTTTATATATAACATTGAAAGTAATGTAATTACTTTCTATTTGAAAAGGAGATTCATTGAAATACTTCGTGCAATAAAAACTTTCTGATACAGATTCATAGTATGGATTCAGTGTAGATGATTCGCATCAATAGTTGAAGAAAGAACATTCGATACGAAATTGCCTTTCCTCGCGCAATACGTTCCTGGGGAACCTAATATAATAAAGAAGCGCGGAGAGCCTCGCAACAGAAGAATTGTAACAAACGCGGTAGCATCGTTGCTTCACAATCTCCAAATCGGATTTTTCGATCTCTCCCATAATCTCTATACACTTGCATAATCGATTAAAACTAAAATTATTTAAATTATTTATTTTAAAACGACTAGAGCTATTGAAATTAAAAGAGGCAAAGAACAGGAGAAATTCACGATACAAAAATGAACGCAAACTTTCATTTATGCACATATTTTATCTACTCATTTTATAAACAAAAGAAAGAATCATGTAATAAAATACAATCGTTGCAAATTTATAAAACTTCGAAGCGAAAAATCACGAATTTCGATCATCTCGGCCACAGTGTTCTAGTAACAAATTTCACAAACTGAAAAAGAGGAGAAGAGAAAAAAAGGTGGAAGAAAAATTGCCACGAGCCGTGATACGGTTTGACGATCAATGAAGCGGATGGACAGTCGTTGCGTCAAAGGGGGATGATCGTTGCAGCTGCGTAAATCGCTGCACGGGCATTAACTTTCGAGCACGAATCGTTAACCGTTTCCCGGTATTTACAGATCATCAATTCCGGGGAGTCGGCCACTATGAATTGCACGGTGGAGGGTTATCCGGTCGAGAGCGTCGAGTGGTTGCACGACGGTGTGCCGGTATTGACCGCGCAGGACACGAGAATCAGATTGCTGGCTCCTCTGGTGCTCGTGATAGGCTCGGTCGGCCGAAAGGACAAGGGGATGTATCAGTGCCTGGTCAGAAGCGACAAGGAGAACGCACAAGCTACAGCCGAATTGAAGCTTGGAGGTATATTCGAATGAATCTGTTAAAGGTTTCAGGACGTTGGTCATAAGCCAACTAAACCGCATTCGATCATATTTGAAACTGCTGAACATATTTGAGAAAATTTATTTCGCCCACAAATACATTGTTATATTTTGATGCTCATTTGGTGTGGTAACTGTTTTATTCAAGAAAATTGAATGTCAGATCTTCCTGGAAAAAAGACAAGTCGTGAGTTTCAAAAATTAGTATAACTCGGATATCATCATAAAAACTAATTGCAGAATATTACAACTTAAAAACTTTTGACTCGTGTAATTTTTATCATTGAAATATGTGAACTATGTAGTTTTGTAATCGATCTGTTTTAAAACTTCATACAATTAAAATCAGGAATAAAAGTACCTAAGTGATCTGTTTGATGTGTGGCAGAAAGACATTCCTGTACAATACGATATTATAAAAACATGTAATAGCAAATACTCCTCTGACAAAACCATAAAAATGACATGTTTTCTATTATCTGTTATATTTATTGTTATTATTGTTATTATTCCATGGAATTGGTTACTCAACTGATTACATATTGCTTGATCTACTCCGTCAGACACTGTACCAGAGTTGCAATACACGTTCATCGAGCAAGCACTGCGACCAGGTCCTCCGGTATCCTTGAGATGCTCTGCTACAGGATCTCCACCACCATCGTTCACTTGGTTGCTAGATGGAGAGCCTCTAAGTGAGATCGCCTCTGGACACAGGTGCATATCTAGATCTCTCACCGATCAATATTCCGTTTCTTAATCGAACACAATGCCTTATACAGGTACGCGATAGGACAGTATGTCGATCAATCCGGAGACGTGATCAGTCATTTGAACATATCGTCCGCTGGTGCCGAAGATGGTGGCCTCTACGCTTGTGTCGCGGCTAATACTCTCGCTACGGTCGAGCACAAAGCTAGACTGAACATTTATGGTAATTCGAATCATCCTTTGACTTATGTAACGTAGCATTATTTGAATTCAGGTTGCTTATTGTTTGAAAGCAAGTTGCATTTGTAGTGAAGTTTAATCCTTGTTGGCAGTATTATGCGATATACATACATATATAAATTCTTTGTATATCATATTAAGAGTTAAGATTGCTTTTATTTAAATAGAATGTCGTGTAATTTATATTGTTAATTTTATTTGAATATAATGTTCGTATTATTTAATTATTTTTTTTAACAACATACAAATATTGAAGTAGTTTTTAGTCATCTTCATACTAAATTTGTAGTAGCGTTTTACTTTAAATCCTTGAGTTTAATGAAACTTCAATAAAAATAATCTGTTTTAGAATGTACAGAAATCTTTCTGCATAATTTAATTTGTTTTATCTTAACTCGTTATTCAGCAAACTAATTTATTGTCATTGATCATGTATTAATTTATGTGTCAGTTACTTAATAAATTATTATTTTGATTATAATATTTAGAATGTACTATGATACTTGTTAGAATACATTAAAAATTCTACAATAAATCAAATTAGAACAAAAATTAGAAAAGTATCGATGCTCAACATCCTAATGAATCTCAAAGAACATTAATCGCCCCTAATTATACCAGTGGGATGATAGTTGGACTAGTGGTTAAGCGATATGTGTCGGAAGGGACTTCACGTCGATTAATAATTTCAGGTCCACCGTACATCCGATCGATAGGACCAGTTCGCGCGATAGCCGGTGTCGATACCACCATAGCTTGTCCTTATTCTGGCTATCCTATCACGTCAGTGGAGTGGTCTCATGGAGGAGTCGCGTTACCACTCGACATAAGACACCGTGTTGACAGTGAGGGTCATCTTACCATCGCCAATGTGGATCCAAACGATGCTGGCACTTTTACTTGCATGGTTAGAGCGAGATCCGGTGAAACGGCGAGCAGGGACATCCGGTTGACTGTCAGCAGTGAGTATTCTACGATGAAAATGTAATGGTATTATCATAAAATAGATGATTATTCCGTATTATTGGATGGAACAGAATTTTTTAAAAATTGAGGAGATAGTGTACTTTTTTTTATTTTTCTCTTCTTTTGGGAGGAGTGGTGAATCCATTACGGATACCAGAGAGCCCGTACTGTCTGGTTATGTGAGACTGGCAGTATGTATAGTTCAGCCTAACCACCAAAAACCCTTCTCTATATCTCAAGCGTAGAGATGCACCTTCCCCCGGAATTGCTAGGCATCACTTTAGGGATAGACGTTAATCAATTCATCACCGATATATACACTTGCTCTTACACTAGTAGGAGTACAACAAAATTTGCTAAATTAATTAATTTACTTTATAAGAAGATGGTGTATCTTATAATAAAATTAAGTTATGTATAGTGTGTAATATAGAATATGAAATACTTTGATAAATTTTTATTATTGGCAAATTTGGAAACATGAAATGTTTCTTTTAAAATTGAAGTATGGATGGAAGTTTGAAACATTAAAATAATTTGAACAGCAATTTATTTATTTTAAATCACGTTGGAAATCATTTCCAATCATGTTCTATACTAATTGTTTAGCAATAAGTATGTTGTAACTTCTGTACATGTATATCTTCATTAATTTACTTTAAACTTTAATCAGTTTGATGACAAATAAAATTTCAATATGTTTCGTATAACGTGGATAGCCGTCTACCAAGAAAATTATAAATTTATGTATAAAAAATAAGTTACACACTATGAAATGTATAATTATATACAATTGAATAATATAATATTATAAAAGACAAATATTTACGTGATTTGTTTATCTTTCGCGGTAGAATATAATAAAAGCAGAAACTGTAAGTATCTACTACATACATGTACTACATCCATTTTAACGAGAAACAAGTTTTTATTCTTGTTTCTTTACGGTCGAATTGCTTATCCCCGCGAAGAAGTCACGAAACTAGGCGAAAGAAGTAAATTGCAAGTCCGTTGGAATTCCTCTAACGTTGCTTCTCAACTTTTTCTCATTTATCGCGACGTTTGGGAGGGAAAGTTAAAAGATACACACATAGACAGAAACTAATAACCACTGACCACAATAATTATCCTTACTTTCGTATCCTCTGTCGTTTTTACCTCTCTGCAATAAATTACACGAACGACCCTTCAGATAATGAATGAAAAATTATATTACAAAATTACTGCAATAATTTGTGTGATTTACATAATACATTCTACTTTTTTTTTACGACAGTTTGTATAATAAACTCTGCAAACGACCCCAGAAATAATAAATTAAAAATTATACTGCAAAATTATTGTAACGATTAGTATTAACTTGCGTATATCAATATATTCGAAATAATGATTTTTTTCTCGACAAAGACAAAGAAATTTAAAGGAATGAGCAAGAGCAAAAGATTGTATTTGTTCCAGGTCCACCCGTTATGAGTCCCTTTAATTTCCCTCCAAACCTTCAAGAAGGAAGTCGCGCCCAGGTCACCTGCACCGTCACTTCCGGTGATCTACCAATCTACTTCTCCTGGCTAAAGGATGGTGAACCATTACCTTCCTCCTTACGTGTATGTCTTTCATAAAAAATTCCCTCATTTGAAACTTCATTTTTAACGTTGTATTTGTTACGTTTAACTATTACTTTTGTATTTGTTGATAGCAAATGTAATAATAAACCTAAAGAAACATAAATTTTTTTTTAAAGAACATTCTGTGTAATTGTTCATAGTCGAATATCTTATATAATTGATATAATACATATAACAACACAAATATAAATATCTCCCTTCAAGAGTTTTAGGACAGTTATTATTCAACAAAAAAAGTGTACGTACATAATTAAAGTAATAATATACCACAAATTTTATCAAAAAAATTATACAATTTAAAATTCATAATCTGTTTTAAAAATGAAAAATGTCTCGAGACTTTTGAACATTAATTTAATAATTTATCTGATGTCAGTTTCATAACAGTTCCACGAACAAGCAATTAAGTACCATTAAATGATTTTGTTTCACAAAATTTTTGTGTTACAGATCGAGGAACGTGTGGCCGAATTTTTCAGTCTGCTCGTCTTCAAGGAACTCTCGTCGCGGCACAGTGGCAAATACACTTGCGTGGCGACTAACAGCGCGGCCAAAGTCAACCACACGGCCGAACTTTTGGTAAAAGTGCCGCCGCAATGGATTTTCGAGCCGCAAGATGTGACCACTCTCCTGGGAAATCCATTGAACGTTCATTGCGAGGCCAAGGGATTTCCACCACCGCGTGTCACGTGGTTACGCGCCAGAGAAAGAACCTCCAACGACTATCAACCTCTGGTTGATGGTTCTGATGGAAGATTAACCATCCTACCAAATGGATCTCTGTGGACAGCCTTTGCTGGACCACAGGACGAAGGGCATTATCTATGCCGGGCGAATAATGGCATTGGATCTGGATTGAGCAAAGTGATCTACGTATCTGTTCATGGTAAATTTAATTTATATTAATAAGAACTTTAGTTATTGTCGCGATTTCCATAATTTAATCTTAAGGCTTCGAATGGTTAAAGATTCTTACTTTATTTGTATTTTGAATTAAGTAAAATTGTGCATCGTTTATACATTGTATTATGTATTGCAGTTTACACATTTTATTTTATTTTTATATTACAATTATAATTATATTAATGTATTATAAAATGTCCAACTTTCAATAATTCGTACTTCATTATATCCACAAAAATTCCATTCTTTTATTCTTTTTCCACTTTTTTTTTAAGAACAAACGTCGATATATGTTTCCAAGAAGGTTACCAAATTTATTTTGCCATAGGAAACTCACAAAAAATATCTTTATTATGCTTTTATAGAGCCAGCACGGTTCGAGTTCCAGAGCAAAAACGTGACAATCCGTCGTGGCGAATCCGTGACGCTAGATTGTACCGTTATCGGGGATAATCCAATAGAAGTGCAATGGATGCACAACAGTGACCGTTTAGACACGAACAGTCACCGATTGAGCATCAGTCAAATAAAAACGGACAATGGCCTAAAGTCGCAATTGTCCATAGCAAGTAGCGATCGTCAGGATTCTGGAGTTTATAGGTGTACAGCAGACAACGCCTACGGAAGAAGCGAACATTTGATTTATCTCGCTGTTCAAGGTAATATTTTCTTCCTTTTACTTTATTTATATTTCCCTTTTATTTGTATCATCTATAGTAACTCATGCAAAATTTTAGCAATATTAAATATGTGTATAATTAATACCACAATATAGATTACATATTAAAATGGGTTTCTTTTCTTCTTTTGCTTTTCTACTATAATATCTTTTAATTTAATTTAAATTTAAATTTCCTACTAATGTCTATTAGCTACTTGCTAATTTTTCTTTCTGTCTGTTACAAAATTAAAATATAAATATGAATAAAAATGAATCTATTTTTCAATAGACTTTGTCATTCTGTTTTCTATTCTGAATTAATCTATTCTACGATCAAAGATTATCTAATGATTAATTAATTAATTAATTATATGGCGAGTATAGAAAGACCAGATCCACCAGCCTCGCTAGAAGTTATAGAAATTGGCTCACGATCGATACGATTATTATGGAAAAGAGCTTTCGATGGAAACAGTCCAATACGAAATTATGTTATTCAGTATCGATCTTTGAATCATGGTTTGGCTGACGATTGGAATCCCGCAAAAACGCACAACGTCACCTACACACCCGGAAGTTCCATGAATGGAAATACCATACATCCGACGCAAAACGGTAATTATATTTTATGTAAATCGTAACTGTAGCTATCATTATTTTGCAAAACCTTTTTTAGTTTCATCTCCTTAATATTGAGTTTAATTTTAATGATCTATATGCATAAATTACTTATAAACATAGATAAATTTGCGAGAGAACTTCATTTTTTGTTCGGTGTAATTTTTCAATTATAATCTTTGTTTTTATGCTTAAATAAAGTGGAATATTAAAATAGATTCTTTAACATTTATATAATGTAATATTTTGACTTCTGGATAATATTAATTGCAATTTAATATATTATAAATTATAATTTCTATGTGCACAGGTTTATCTCCTTTTGAAACTACCACTGACGATCAAGAAATAGCTTTAGTAGGCGGACTTCATCCAGCAGTGACTTATACGTTTCGCATTTTTGCCATAAATTCAATAGACGTGAGTGTGCCAACTGATCCCGTAGTGGCGAAAACTCAAGAAGAAGGTACAAAAATACGCTTCTTCCTAAGATAATGTAATATCCTCCTTTAATATAAAACAGTAATATCCTCCTTATAACAATAAAATAGTATTAATACTCTAATAATAAAATATTTTATTCGCTATTCTTCCATGATTTTAATATTTTTTTTTTTTTTATTCATAACAGCACCCACTGAACCACCCCAAAGTATCAAAGTACAGTCAGCAGGTCCTGGAGAGCTTATGGTTAGCTGGCAGGTAAATATTTTTGAAATTCAACAATAAAAATTTAAAAATATTATAATTGTGTAGAGATTTCAGAAAGAGACATTTCAAAATTCGAAGTAATCTCAATGAAATCAGTGAAAGAATTTCATTGCATTTCACAGCCACCCCCAAAGGAATCTTGCAACGGAGATCTATTGGGCTACATAGTGACGTGGTCGGAGCATTCATCTTCAACGTCAGGTGTGAACCAAAGCAAAAGTTTAACGGTGAACGGATGGGCAACTACAAAGGTGCAACTCACAGGTCTGAGAAAGTTCACCAAGTACGATATATCGATCAGAGCTTTCAACAGTATAGCCAGCGGGCCAGCCAGCGTTCCCATTGTTGGAACAACTCAGGAAGGAGGTGCGATAAACATAAACTTTTTGCAAGAACATCTCCTTTTTACCGATACCATTATTTCACCATCTAATGAAACTTTCGCTGATTTATTGTATTGTGATTATCTTAGTGCCGGAAACTCCACCGACGCAAGTATCATGCATTCCTCTGTCTTCCCAAAGTGTGAAAGTTTCTTGGAGCGCACCACCGCCACATCAACACGGTGGGATCATTCAGGGTTACAAAGTGTACTACAGACCAGTGCCTACTGACAACAGTAAGTGAAGTGATGTATCTTCCTATAAATATTCTTTCTTTATTTAATAGGTTTTTGGAACCTCAGATTTTCTTTCTTATCAAGCTTTTCAAATCTTTCTATTTTCTTTCACAATAAATTATGTATATTTTTCATGTATTATGTAAAAATTGGCACTCTAAGTATAAATTAAAGTTGTAATATCTTTCAGATAGAATTTTTAAAATTACAATTTACACAGAGTTAAACATTATATACTACAGATGTCTGATTTCATTTTTATTAAAGACATGCTCGCAATGAAAATTGTTTTAGTGGACATATCGACAGTAGGTGAAGTAAAGAAGACTTCCAGCGTAGAAACTTATCTACACACTCTATACAAGTACACGAATTACTCTATCCGAGTATTGGCTTACACTGGCGCTGGCGACGGAGTTCTAAGTCCGCCAATTTTTTGTACAACGGAAGAGGATGGTAAGAATGATATTTATTGTATAATAATTTTTATTGATCCGATATATATCAATACTGTTTTATATTATTATTGCAATGTCAATGTATTTTAACTTAATATCTGATTTAATCATTATTAATTAATATTCAATTCAATAAGCACAAATACCAATGGAAATACTAACACTGAATTATTATTAGAGGAAATTAATTTGTTTATTGCCCATCTCAGTACCAGGTCCTCCAGCTGGTATCAAAGCTTTAGCATTGACCGCGGAGAGTATATTGGTTTCGTGGTTACCACCTCTGCAGCCAAATGGGAATGTCTCCAAGTATACGGTTTACAGCAGAGAAGCAGGCTCTAGCAACCATAACACACACACCATGCATGAACCACCATCGTCACCGACTGATACTCTTACCATGGAATTGAGAGGTTTGGTCGAAAGGTAACCGACATTTTATAAAATTAGAAGCGATTAAATCTCTTGAAGCAAATGATCATTTAACATTAAATTACGTGCCAGTCAACTGTACGAGTTCTGGGTGTCAGCAACGACAGGACTGGGTGAAGGTGAATCGACCACCATAGTAACTCAAACTACAAACACTAAAGGTTTGAAAATTCATAGAATAATTTCTCTTTGAATTATTGGAAGATAATTAGATTTTATAAAGTTACAAAATTATTTCAGAATACTTAAATTTTATAAATTTTAATAAAATCGTTTCCACAGCTCCAGCTAGAGTGGCGTCTTTTTCACAATTGTTGAGGAGGGCGATTAAATCGTCGATCACCCTGTCTTGCTTAGTCGTAGGTAATCCTACGCCTCGTCCAATATGGACGTATCGAAATAGTCAAGTCTCTACTGGCAGGCATTACGAACTGACTGCTGATGGTCATCTTAATATTCGTGGTTAGCTTTACAATATTAATTCAAGAATAATTAATTCAAAGATAGATTTGATCATTTTAAAACTCGTGAGTAAAAATGTTGAAGAAAATAAAAATTTTAGGATTAGAACAATCGGTGGCAGGAAATTACACGTGTTCAGCCAATAACTTATTCGGTGACGATTCCATCACTTACACCTTGGTCGTGGTAATGCCTCCACGAGCACCAATGCTAGAGTTACAGTATACAACGATGAATAGTATAAGACTTAGGTGGAATCACCCTAATAACGGTGGTGCTACTATTCAAGGTAATGAAATAATATTACTCCTAATATTAGTGATAATTGATGTTAACAATAATATTCATAATAACTATTAAATAATCATTTTTATTAGGCTACGTGTTAAGTTACAAAAGGGACCAAGGTGGCTGGGAGGAAATAGCATTATCACCTGAACAGACTGAGTTCATTTTATCAGGTTTAAAATGCGGTTCCTCCTACTTGGCACATTTAACAGCTCATAATCGCGTAGGCACTGGAGATCCGAGCCCTCTAATTAGTGCCACCACCAAAGGAACTGGTAAATTTTTAACACAAGCTCTACTTTTTATAATCTTTTATGATTTTGTATATATTATATTTTATTATTATGTTTCATTTATATATTTCATTTATATAACTATTCTCGTAGCTCCTTTATTACCAAAAGAACGAGACATCATCTCTGCCAACGGCACGTCCGTGAAATTAAATCTTTTATCTTGGCCAAATGGTGGCTGTCCCATTCAATATTACACCATAGAGTACCGTAGACGCGTCAGCACTGAACGATGGACTTTGGTGGCGAGTCATGCCACAGAGAATTTAGTCATAAGAGATTTAAAGACTGCCTCGTGGTACAGCTTACGCCTGACAGCTCATAATGACGCTGGAGCCACGAAAACACAAATGGAATTTGCGACGACCACTCTCAGTGGTGTTAGTATCGGTCCGCCAAATGATCTGATTATGGAAGATGATGTTAAGAAAGCTATACCTAATCATAAAGTACTTTACGTAGTCGTACCTCTCATCTGTGCGATTGTGTTAATTATTTCCGCCGCTATTTTGGGATATGTAATGCTAAAACGCAGTGGAAGGTATGTCTATAATTTAGAAAATTATAGTTTTAATTATATGCATATTATAAGTTTTACAAATTATCATTACATTAATATCAATTTATTTATTTTTATAATATACTAGTATTGTATACTAGTAATAATATAAGATTAGTGTGTAACTTTCAAAAATTATTATTTGTTTGACAAATATTTTTATAATTAAGGAAGATAATATTTAATACTTGCGATTTTTAGAGCAAATTATTTGGGAGAAATTCTTCCTGGACAGCAACAGAATCAACAGTCAGGATTGGGTTTGGTTCAGCAACAACAGCAACATCAGCAGCATCATCATCTTTCAAGCTGTATGTCTACCATGCAACTAAAGTCCACTGCAGAACGTGATAACAGAAGGAATCATCAGGTGTACACCAGTTCGCCTGTGAAACAAGAAAATCACAAGTCGAACGATCATGGATCAGGTTTGTTTTCATCTTAGATTAAAGAAATAAATTTGATAAAAAAAAAAAAAAAAGAAATCAATGACTTGTATTTTGAAATATTTATAACGTTCGTGGTATTTTGTATTTTATTTGTATTTCTTTCACAGAAATGTACGAAATAAGTCCATACGCGACATTCAGTGTGCCAGGAAGAGAAAATCGTTCGGTAACCACAGCTACGCTCGATTATACAATGCAGTTCAAAACATTTGGTCATTTAGAGAACGAGGACATTAATACGATCGATTACGAAAGATCCAGCGTGGACTTCGAGAGGTAACTGTTTTCTTTCAACCCGTTCGTATGATTTTTAAACGCATGCTAGACGGACTAAATGTTCCTTGCTCGACTTCCTTGCTCAAGAAAGCTTGACATCCTGCTCCCAAACCCTTTTTTCTTCCTCTTTCTGGTGTTCTTTCACGTTCAGGTCTAAAACACCAAGGTGGCACAAGCAACGCTACTTCCCAAGCATCGCGGAAGCGGAGAGCAAGCTACGCTCGAGTCGTCAAGGTTCCGGAAGCGACACGTCCGGAAGTCCTTGTGGAGAATGCGCTGGACCTAGTTACAGGGTGCCAGTAAAACCTTGCAGAGGTGAATCTTTGAATATTGTTTCTAATTTCCATTAAGGATTTCGTTTCTCTTTGAAAATTTCCATTCGAGGAATCTATTTTTTCTTAAAAAATTTTTCAACACAGATGTTCGACGTTTCAGAGATATGCTCGATATGAAATTGAATATTTTCTTTTTGCAGATGTATTTTCACGAGGCGTGGAATCGAGTACAGAATCCAACAACGAAGGCTCACCTTCACTTGCGAGACGACGAAGCCGTCAACCGAGCCGGTCTACTCGCAGGTAGCCAAGGTTTGTTTGTTTCCACATAGCACTCAGTCCTGATTATGTTCAATATTCATATCACGGTCTCATCGGTCTCATGTCGATGCGAGATAAATAATAGAGAAATGTAAAGTCCGTCAGAACAATTACAATTAGAATTAGAATTCATCAAACAGTTACAGTTACAACTAATCAAAAGACGAATTTCCCAATATACAATACGGAACCGTGTGTTTGACTACATTTTTCTATTACTCGAAAATATATTTCATCATATTATCTCTTCATAAATTTCATGATATTCCTTGACAATTCACATATATCATTCATAATCTCTCTATATCTGTGTGTAAATAATATTAAATAAAAGATTCCTTCGAACTTTTTCAAATTAATCTGGATCAACCGAGGGCTCGGTGAATATCTACTACTTCAATATTTGCTCGACTCAAACCCTCGAACACGATCCAGAATAATTTATCAAAGCTCAAATCGTAGATCAATCACTCTCAATGAATATGAACGAGGAGAATATTTTAATAAATTCAACGAATAATCTCTAATTTTCCTAAGAGATGTTTATGATCCATTGTTGTGCAGTTCGGTGGAAGACATGACGTTGTTGCCGCCAAGCGGGTTTAGCGACAGCCGCGAATTGAGCGACGTAGAGTGCGACCGTGATCGTGATCGTGATCGTAGCGAGCGTGATCGTGATCGTGAACGGGACTGGCAAGATCTGTCGACCGGGACCCGCCACGGCGGCAGCTTGGGTAGACTGCCAATCGAGGCCGTCGAATCTATGCTCGCTAGGTATCGACACGAACCTCCGTAGACCGTAGTAAGCTGACACAGTTCAGATTTCCCATTCTCTACTCTCACGTTGATCCCACGAAGGCCTCTGAAATTTTTGTTCCACTTTGTGTTCTGTCCAATAAGTTTCATTAGGGGATGTGCAATGGCAGAAGGTATTGTTTAAGTTTAAAGACTGCGGATTTTTATGCAAAGTCACACTTAAAAAAACAAAAGACAGAGCTTCGGCAGAAAGCATTTGTTTACTTGCTTGATGCTGTAGCACTAAACCCTGGATATTTTATCATATTTTTTTTCTTATTAATCAATCAAGGTCCAAGTACTTTAAATTTCATCAATAGAAATTTTCGTGCATCTTTGTATTCTTTACGTGTTCTACATCCAAATTAGTGCTACGTCTAATTGTAAATAAATTGAAACCAGAACTTGAAATCAAGAAACTTGGAAGATCCAAACTAGAGGTGAAAAATTCCGATTGAATGGATGTCTTCTAAGATTTAAAGGAAGTTACATCAATTAAGATCAGCATCGATTAAACTCAAATTTTCACGTCACATACTAATCTAAAAGAGAAAAAGAACTCCAATTACCTACACAAAGCTTTTTTAGCATTGCAAAATTAGATCAGTATTTCTTGACTTATCTAAACTTAAGGTACGACTAAAATCATTACAAAACTTCGTTTCAGGTACCAGCAAAGGAAGGAACAAGAAAGGCAAGAGTTCACTATACACGTATGATCGGGATTTAGCAATTCCAGCGAAAATCTTCATGAAACGAAATAAACGGGAACGTGATGAATCCTCTGGAAACTAATTGACTAACCGATTCGCAGAACGTCAACGTATAATGAAAATAACGATAATTTTCGATAAGCGGCTAATATTGTAATAAGAATAACTCCTGTGAAAATCAGGTTAATTAGGGATTTTCGTCGTAATGGAAAAGAAAAAAAGAAAAAGTTTTTTGCTCACGTCGGAACACTGAGAAAAGCGTTTAACATATCGAAAAACGATGTCCATTCGACTTAATGTTAGCGCAACATCTAATATATTTAATAATTTTCTGTCGATAAAAACTGTGTAATAATTTTTCTACATTTAAACATTTTTCTCAGTGGATTCTGCTGTTAAAATTGTCTGACAAATTGTCTCAATGATCGCTTCGTCGTTGCATCGAATACTGCCGTTGCGTTATTAGCAATCTTACCAATCGACCAATCACGAAACGATAGGAACAAGAATATTATACTATGTGAAAGTATCGACAGAAATCCTTAGCTGTACATTAGAAGACTTCATCTTTCAAAAATCAAGCACACGTGATCGCACAGTGATGAAAATTCTAATTCCAAGTAGACAAAAGTAATATTTCTCAGGCATTGGGAAATTAATTTATTTGAGGAAGTACGTTAATATACAGTTAATGGCTGATCAATTAATCTGTAGTTTCATTAGACGTAGTTTACAATTAATTTAGTTGTTTCTAGGTTTCTTGCTGTTCCAAAAATAATTTCATTTCCAACTCTTTCAATATAAAACAATATATCTTCCAACACAATGAAATTATTTTGCAATTAACTTATACTTAATCGTCGAGAAGTTATAAATTTACTTTATAGAATAATTTTGTCTACCTGGAATAAAAATTTTTACCACTGTATCGCTCGAGAGTCACGCAATTTGTAGGGAAGATTCTGCAACAGCGATTAACAAGGAGAAAGACACCAACAGAGGGTTTAGGAAACAAGTCAATTTAGAGACGGAATGATGAATTACACACGTGTATAATCGTATAACTACTGTATAGTATAGATTGTACGTATCATTAGTTATACTGTTACCAAGAATTGTATAGTTGAAGAAGCACGATGAGAATGAAGTGTTGAGAATCGTTTATTTCTACCTGTGAGAAACATCGTTCAAACATATGGTTATTTGAACGAAGAACATTTGAAAGAATTCGTACTTGTGTTATATGGGAAGAAGAGCACACAAAAAGAGTGTGTCTAGTCTTATTTTTATTAATTTTTTCTTAATTTTGAATAAATTGTTAAACTCGCAGATGTAAATTTCAATCTGTGAAATTTTCTAAAGACTCAAGTAAAGAATTATTTTTGGAATATGTCTAGTAGGATAGAAAAATACATTTGTGACTCCTCGATTAATTAACACTATAATGACACTATAAATTACCGAAAATAGCCAATCGTTATATTATAACAAGATGGTTTTAATATGTAATGAGAAATGATCTCTATTTTTCGTTATAAATCTAATGACATAATAATTAAGTACAATTTACAATCGTCGATTTATAATCAACGAGGAGTTAAATAAGAAAAAATGCAATTCACACGTTAAATTTTAACGTAAATTTAAGCTTTGTATTCGTTTCTTTTCAAACAAATATCTTTTATAAAATTACCATCGTTTATATTAATGAAAATATAAAAGTATAATAACATAACGATGTTTCAAAAAAAGAAAAAAAAAACAGAAAGAAACGAAGCTCACTAAAACCGCAGAGTGCTAAAATTATAACAACATTCCTAATTATCGGCATTAAGAAAGCACGAACTGTGCGTTTCGACATTCCGTTCGATTAATTATGTTGAGGAAATAATTCGAGGATTCTATTCGCGTCAGAACGCGCGGTTTCGATCCAAGATCGAGAAGTGTGATTGATGAGAGAGTAATTTAAAAAAATGTACATACATGTATGCATCATATTTAGAGGCTGAACAAGTTTATCGATATACAATGATCGACACAATTATCGATTAACGACAAAGATAGCTTTAAGTATTATTAACGTTGTTTTCATTCGCGAAATATTCTATTACATGTAGATATTTTAATGTTTAACCTTTCGTTCCTTGCGTTTCAAAACAAAAAAGAAACTAGGAAACTTTTTTACCGACAACCGATTACCGCCAGTAAAGGTTGCTTTCCACGAGAGCTAATAAAAAAACATTTTATTAAAAAATGAGCGAGTGACTTTAAAATCTTAAAGTTTTATTCTTGAAATGCATAGCGAAACAAAAGGTGAAACATTTTGTTCGAGGCAAAACCTATCGGATCGGACGAGTTCACGATGATCGATCTATCGATAAGTTACGCGGGCATTTTCAAATGTCGGTAACCAATTGAAGTCCGGTCCTCGTGCATCACACCATCTCTCGATATGATGAGACTGAGGCTAATTAACTACGCTTACGTTAATTTCTGCCAAAACAGAGTTTACGGTTCCCAAAGACTATTAATTTAGGGCTATTGCCTTAATCGTAATAAATTAAACAAGATGTCATTGCGCGTGACATCTACGATCGCATGTTTTCTTCGAAACTTTCATAGACAAAAGGGCATACTTCGCGTATTTTCCCCGAAGAAGAAAAAAAAGAAGGAGGAAAGGAAAGTTCATTTTTCACGCGAAAATATATTTCTATGAAAACATGTTTGAAAGAATATCGAACTGGTTGCATTTATACTTAGTTTAATACTAACAAATAAACTGCCATATCAGCTTTCACGTGTAGTAATTTGTCATTTGACATTTTTTACGAAAAATTTGCCACATTAATGATATATCATATATTTACCATTTCCATATATGTGTACGTCTTATTAAAATTTTCCAATGTTTTTTAAATTTTGTACAGTTTTTAAAAACGCGTCTTACTATTGAGACTAACACATATGCCTAGCTAATTCAACTGCGAAATTTCTAATTCAGACACCGGATATGCAGAGTATGCCCTCTCGCAAGATAACAACGCATGTAATTTATTACACGTATATAAACATGTATGGACGCATCTCGTTTGTACAAACGCGACGAGCGTGTCGAACTTCACGAAGATTAAACCGTACACAAATTTAAATACGAGAGCCAGCGAGCCGTATGATTTCTAGTAAATTGTTTTCATAGTCAAAAATTGAAAAGAGAGAGAGGAAAAAAAGGAACGTGATCGTAGTTAGACGAAAAATTTGGGCGAGAAAGGAAAAAATTAGCGCCAAAGCGGATTTTTCGAATGTGCGTGCGGTGAATGCGTGCATAAATGCGTGCGTGTGATATATAGAAACTCGTCAGCTACTGAGAACGAGCGAGCTACATATTTGTATAATACGCGAGACCCGTGAACCTTAGAAATTATGTATCATATCCTCGTATAATTATATCCGTGGACGAATTGCGATAAAATTAATCGTCGTCCGTTATGGTTACGCGAAACTAAAGTAAAATAATACCAAACGCGAAGAAAAAAAACATGAATAAAAACAATCGAATGTCTTATCGAAGTGTCAGACTTTCACAGGATATGCTAACTCAGCTTGTTAATAAAGAGGAAACAGACATTTATCGCAGATTTCACTCTATGTCCCTTCAATCTCTATTCTTCGTAGAAAATTTCGTTATTCCTATATTTTTTGAAATACGCCGAATGAAAGTGATGAAATAAATACAACACTAAAAGCACCAATCGCTTCTGTCGCACAATATGAGTAAATTTTATACATCTTCTCGCATACTAGTACATTTATCCTTCACACTACGTGAGTGTCCTTACCTCGCGCTATTACGTATATCCTTGTCTAACCAACCGAGTGTTTCGATCTATTCCATAGAAAAATTTTAAATTTTTATTCATGCACCACCCAGATCAAACTGAACGCAGGAGAAAAGTTTAGGGTCTAACAACCTAGATATCACTGCAAAAGTTAATAAATAAATTCTCTTAATTGTCTTTTTTTGTAAATGAAAATTTAGTCGATTCATGGACATTAAAACGCTAGCGTCACGTAGCGGTGAAATGGTGGAATTAAAAATCTGTTGTTGTCCTTGTTGCACACTAGTACGCTCCTTGTCAGACGCATCGTATAAGTCTGTCCTTGTCGCACGGTAGTGCTCTCCTTGTTCTGATGACGCTGACAAGGAAAGCAACAGTGTGCGACAAGGACATTCTTCGATTTATTGAAAAAAAAATTCAACTTTTTACACACACGTTTTTCTAGGACAAAGCACACATAGAAAGAAATCGGAGAGCCTAATTTTAAGGAGGCATATTAAAAAGTTCGCAAATTATTCCTCTAATTGAGTTTTTTTCGTAATTAGTGCGAACTGTCACAAAATGGACCTGGTGGCGCCATCTAGCGGTGACTCAGTGGTACTAATTACTTATAAAAATATTTATTTCTGCATTTTACGAGTCAAATGGTGTATGAAAAGAAAGCNTAGGTTGTTAGACCCTAAACTTTTCTCCTGCGTTCAGTTTGATCTGGGTGGTGCATGAATAAAAATTTAAAATTTTTCTATTCGATAATCGAAGCATACGTAAGAGTAATTTAATTTTCCCCCGACCTACATTGGAAATTTTAATTAATTTGAGATCTTTTGTAACTTCATCTTTCTAAATGGAGCTTCAATTATCTTCTTTGAACTTTTAAATTCATATCAAAAACGTACATATTTGATAATGATAAGGAATTCATATTTTCGCGGCTACAAACGCCACTGTATATTTTCTACGATACAATCTATTGCAACGATATTTTCCTATCTACATTGATCGATACATATGACTGTCAACGAAGTTGTTTTAACTGATCTTAACAAAGCTGAAGTTTATTATCTGATTAACCAAGTTTAACAGTATATTATCTGATTCTACACACGTTCATACGAATCAGAATTTCTCTGTTGCCTGTTAACACGTTCTTTCAAATACATTTTCGTACACACATCTTTGAATAGTGTTGCATTCATCACGTCTGTGTGTACAGTGTGTAAGCAATTGGTGTTCACATTAAATCATCAATAGCAATTGTCAATCTGATCTCATCAGACACAAGATTCATCATTATGTGCGCGAAAATGGCTTTTCAGCATCAAGCTGGCACCGCTATGGAATGTTTAAGTGTAAATATATTTTATCTATGATAAAATAATCTTTTAAAGCGTTAAAGTTACTTGTTTGATTATTATCAGGTATTTTTTAGATACTAAATTTCATAAGTAACTTTGTTCCTTTTTTGGCAATGTGTGATTTTATTTTCAAATTTTTCTTTTTTTTTTAACAATTGATAAAAGCTGTGATATAGTGATAATGATAAAAAAGATTAGTAGTATTAAACAAAATATTTTATTCTGAATAAATATTTTGATACACTTTGTTTTATTTTTAGATACCAATTATATTAGTTAAAGAAACGGATGTTAATGAAAATGGGGAAGAAGTGATGAAGTGTGGCTTCAAAATTGGAGGTGGTATTGATCAAGATTTTAGAAAAAGTCCTCAGGGTTATACAGATAATGTAATGAAGATTGATCTAGATATTATAAATGCAACATTTTATTGAATGTTATTAACTGACAGTTTGCAATATTTCAGGGTATATACGTAACTGAAGTGCACGAAGGATCACCAGCAGCAAAGAGCGGGCTTCGTATGCATGATAAAATTTTACAATGTAATGGGTATGATTTTACCATGGTAACTCATAAAAAGGCAGTATCATATATCAGAAAGCATCCAGTATTAAATCTATTAGTAGCACGTAAAGGAGTGACAAGTACTTAAATACCAAATAAGAGATCCATTTGGTCTAAGAAGAATATTTATTTTGCTCTATACAATAACAAAGTCAATTTATTGGAGCTACATGTCTGCCAAATATCATTAGATTATGACCAATAGTAAGATATCTTTGAATTAGTTTTCACAAAATGAGTAAACTTGGTACTTTACTTTTTATAAACGTTATATCTAATAATTATTTACTATTCCAATTAAAATAAGAGCATAAATGTTAATTAATGGACATCCACTGATTGTTATGATTATATTGCAGGCATAATATCTGTTTCTAATTGCAATAAGAATAAAGCATTAGAACGATAGATATATATGTATAAAAGTTATGGTTCGTTATTGTTGTTGAAAAAAAAAAAGAAAGATTGTATGAAAATGTTTTTCTGATATCAGATGACGATTGATAACGCTATCATTATGTAAAATTATGCTTGAGAAACATGATTTACATGTGCCTGCGTAAAAATCGCCCTGTATATCAAAATTTGTAACAATATTTCTTGTGCCAAACAATAACTGCTGCGCGGGATCCATATGAATATTTCTTACCGTCTTGTATATATATTTACCTACAACAGGAAAGATGTTTGAATAATGAAGCGAACTTCTCGATCGTTTCTTTTAACAAAGGAATAATTATATGGATGAGAAAAGTCATAATATTTTAATTTTTTAAGTATTTCTATATTGTAAAATATAACAGAATGCCAAAGCATAATGAAGTTACAGTAGCTTAGACATGCAACATACCCTTTACAAAATTTTGTATTGCTAGTATATTGCTATAAGACTCATATGAAATACTTCGAATCTATGCATTTAAAATCTAATTATACGCAATGACTGAAACGATCATACAATAAACATTGTTTTGTTACCTTTAAAGAGGTATATCTAATATATGAATAAGTATTGTATATTATATGCAACTAATGCATTTACAAGCATTTACAGAATTTTTTTTTTATTGGCGTTGAGAAGAAATTATTGAGATTATATACTTTGAATAGAAGTATTAAACATTATATTTTATAAAGTTTTTACTTTAATCGATAACGAATGTTTCTATGCATTATCGTAAAATTTTTACACGTGAAGAAAAACAACATTTTATATCTTTTTTATCTTAAATTGGCTAAAAATGTATAATAAGCGAACGAAGAAAGGAAAAGTTCCTGTAACAATACATATGATTTTCTTTTATATCCCAAAATGCTAACGCAATCATAATATAAACTGTTTATGTAAGAGATAATGTAATATTTTGTCATAATTTTATAACTAGTCTGCTAAAACATGAAAAAGATTGAAAAATGAAATAAATAAAACATAAATTATTATGCGTGCGACCACTGGGCATGCAGTAGTAATTTAATCTTTTGTATAGAATTACAATATGACAAATTATATGCATTATTTCAATCTACATTTATATAAAAGTTATATGTTATTTATTACCAAAAATATAATTATATAGAGAACTGTGGAACAAACTAATGATCATATATTGTGTAAATAACAAATAAATGTTCTATACTATCATCACTAAATTTTTGTTTTATTTTAAGTATTTTATAAAGTTAAATCATTAACGCTTCGTGAAATTTCAAATCTCGTATTATTTTTATTGTACTACATATCCTAAATATCTTAAAATTTACTTATGTTTTCCATAATTCTAATCTTAATTAAGTTTTAACGAAGAAGATAATACCCCGGTATCGAATTATATTATTATTTTTAAATAAATTTACCGTGCTATGTTCTATTTATTTTATGATCAAATAATCTCTAGAAAACTTACGAATTTAATTTGAAAGTAATTATTCAAATAATTACTTCTTTCAAAATAATTATATATTTCATAGATACATCGTATCAAATAACTAAATATAATTACAATATGATGAAATATTTATTGTTAAAATTCTTTACATGAGAACGTAGCATAAAGATCGACTCTCGTGCGTCACTATGAATTTACAGTTAATGATGACGTGTCTAGAGTTCACTACGTGGATGTTGTGTATATGACACGTCGCTTTATGCTGTCCTCTGTATTGCCAGTCTGCCAATAAACTAATAGGTAGAAAGAGGTTGGTTTCACACGACACAATAATACTCGGCAACTTTGTTCCAGCATTCTTTTAATGTTCACAATAAGATAACAACAGGCATTTTAATAAAAACGAATTTAGATCTTAGTTCATCGCGAGTTTGCAATATTGTAAGTTATAAAACAAACTTTTCGAATTCAAGTATTTATTCACGAACAGACGCCAGAAAGATATAACAAACGATGGTAAGTAATCTTATAAGATTTTAATAGGGAAAATAAGCACAATTTTTCTTTTGTCGAAATATTTATATTTATATTATATTTCCTTTTCAAGCCTGTCGCACCCAGTTGCACTTCAATTGGAGCTATGGGCCGATCGCCCAGTAAAGCTATAACACCTAGAACAGGTGGTGGTGGTACAGTTAGACAAAGGAAAACTGCGACAACTACTTCCACTAGGAGTAGAAACACGGGAGCTGGTTCCGATGGCATGTGGAGGTTTTATACCGATGATTCTCCTGGCATCAAAGTGTAAGTAAACCCAAAATATATGCTGAAATCAAAAGAAATATTGAGTAAGAAACATTAATAATCTCAGTATCTATTTACAGAGGGCCAGTACCTGTGCTTGTCATGTCTCTCCTTTTTATTGCATCTGTTTTCATGCTACACATCTGGGGCAAATATACTAGGTCTTAAGATTGAAAATAAGTACTATTAATTTAAGAAGAAACTGAAGCAATTGGAATGAGCTGTGCAGTGCAGTTGAAATGAATTAAGAAAGCTCAAGGATACTTTCCAAACAAAACATCAGTACAATTCAAGAATACTTTGCTACATTTTTTATATTGTTTTCTCATTAATTTAAAAGAATCAAAGCACTGCGAGTTAAAAATTACATTTGTAATGGATCTCTATTTTTTTTTATCGCGAAGCAAGACCAAAATTCAACGCGCAATCATGAAATATCATTATTATTGTAATCATTTATTTTCATTAAACTGAATTTTATAATGTTTATAAGAAGATACCTGGGAACTAACTGTATGCACGCACTATGCGTGATTGAGATAAGACACATGTTATCGTTTGTAAAGTTATTATTATAATAATATAATGTACGATATCAAAATAAATTATTCTTAATTCGACTTAAAAAAAGAAAAAAAAAAAAAAAGAAACGATCTACTAATTCTTTTTATCTTCATCCATTTTTGTATGATTATAAAGATATTCAAGCTCAATACGAAATGAATATTTCAAAAGACAACTGAAGGCTGCGCATTATCTTTATCAGTACAATAGAAATGAAAAGTGCAATGCGCCATGTTCCATTTAACTGGAAACTCATTCGCGCTCGCGTGTACGTATTGATTCCATGCTGAATAGGCGCGGATTACAGTACTCTGAGAAAAAGAAGCAATCGCAATAAAATAACTGTGCGAAAAACAGAGAAACAATCACCAAGGCATGATTTTATCGAAAATCGAACAAAAGACATCCATCGTGAAAACATTGTCTATCCTATTAAAAGTGTTACTACATATGTGTTACTATATGTTCCCATATGCAATATATAAACATATATCTATAAAAAGAATAAAAAAAGTAAACTGTCATTCTTCAATTCCTTGTTTTCCCTTTTAAAATCATTCTAAATAACAGAATCGAACAATTCTTTCCCAATAAAATTTTCAATGGAAATTATTAAATTTATCTTTAAAGCAAAATAAAATTCTCAAGTGAGAGCGTTAATGATAATATAATCATGAGAAAGGATTCTAATTATGAAAATAATTACAAGAATGTCAAATGGTTGAATCAGGAAACTCAATAGGTCAACACCATAGAGTATTAAGCAGAGGGAGACGCGTAGCTTGGTAAGAGAAGGATGAAGCTAGAAGAAGAGCGCCGGATGCGCTCGCAGTCGTTTCATAGCACGTGATCATGGGTTTCTCGTTTTAGACTCGACATTGAATCCCCTCGTAGTCCTGCCGCTGCCTGTCGTCGCGGGTGGAAGCAGGTCCACCCGTTCTGCCAGTTGCTACGATGGGATTCCTCTCTATCGAGGTAATCGTCGTTTCTCTTCAAACGATGTATATACCATCGCACAGACTGTGTGCATCCTTTGTTAACCAAAAATTCGAGATATAAGAGATATTCTAGACTCGTTAATATTTCTTGGTGGCATTCTTGAGGTGACAGTGGCTCGTGTGATTCTCATTCATCTCAAATGTAGTGTGTTCAATGCAGAACTTAACAATGTTTAATCGAATAACATTTAACAATATCGGTTTTGATTTTCGGTGATAATCGAGCTCGTAAATGGTGCTCGTGAATGGTTTTTCATTGATAATATCGAACAAATCGCTTCCTCGAGTTGTCATATTGATGTTGAGAAATGGTACAAATTTCTGGTGCTATCTCTTGAATTATGACAGTACGGAATGTGAACTTCCGGGAACTATTTTGAATAAGTAATTGATATTTCATAACTTTTTTTTTCTTTTTTTTTTCTCTTTTTAAAGGAGGGTATGTTGTACGGTTGATTAAATCTTACGATTGATTAAAAGACCGAATTGTGATGCGAAAATTTCGAATTAAAGAAAGGTAAGTAAAAATAGTTAGTTTTATTCTTTAACTTTTTCATGACTAAAAATATTTTGCATGTTTACGATGCATCGGTTAAAAAAAATCATTTAAATGTTACGAGTATCTGTCGTGAAAAAAATGGCATTTTTTCGAATATTTTTTGCAAGAATATTGAGCAAAATGAACTGCATTGCGACGCTTTACGTTGCAGTTAGAATAATACCAGTTGGAATAATTGTAATTTTATTGCAAGGTCAAAAGATATACAATGAAAAATATTATTTAAAGTAATATTTTATATATATTATAGTAATAATATTTTTTAACACAGTTTAAATTTAAATAAAAATTCTTAACATCTAATTAAAAATTTTTCGTTTTTAAATTTGAAATCTTTATTTAATCTTTTTTCTTCATTCTCAATTTAAATTATTATTGTCTTTCTAAAAATTACTGCAAATTGTAAAAAATTCTTGATACTTCTTGTAGCTATATTTTTAGAAACACACTATTCTTATTAAATAATGCAAATTAAGCATGCACGAACTAGTATAATTGATAAATGAAAAACATTTAGATATCAAGGTTGCTTATATAAGAAATAAAATAGAATCATAAAGATGTCAGATATTTGATTTATGTATATATCAATACACAATTCTCTCCAGTCCGATCATACTCTTACTTATACTACTTACTGGTTATAACGCTGCTGTTCCAACTATGCATGATTATACTTCTACATCAATTTTATTATATGCAATTTAATTAATTAAAACATTATGCAAATAATTCTATAAAAACACAGAGATTTTAATAGAGAAGTTAATTAATTATTTAACAAAGAAGTTAATTAATTATTATTTTTGTAAACTATTTTACTTTATTAACATTTTATTAATTCTTTCGTCATTTGTAATTACAAATATGTGATTAGAAAATCGAAGCAAATTTAAAAAAAGAAACTATAAACTTTAACAAATTATGTGACATTTTATCTGACATTTAATTATTTTATAATTATAAAAGCGATTTTAAAAAATTTAATTATATTAAAGAAAACATATATGAACATTAAAGGTCCATTGTAAAATGCTTAATTACATAAAAATACTTGTAAGAATCACAAAGTAAATTATAGTCTAAAAGATAAAATTAAAAATAACTATGTATAAAATTATAAACAAGTGATAAAAAGCTTTCTTCTGTAAGCACAACAAATTGGAAATTTCTACTTAATAGAGCATATACGTATATGAATATATATAGACACATACACACACACATATACGTGTAGCATCTTCATTAACGATTCCAGATTTGAAAATAGTTCATCGAGTGCGGGGGTAGGCAATCAACGAGGATCAATGGCGGTCGATATTTTAGACGAGGACCACTTCGCGGTGAGCGCCATCGTCACCGTTGGCATGCAAATCATCTTCTTCACGATCGCGGCGACCTTCCAGCTGGACAAGTTGACGGATTTTGCCGGCGGCACGAACTTCATCATTCTCGCCCTTCTCACTTTCTTTCTTGGCCAAATGGGCAAGGTATTCTAATTATAAAGCCGCTTCCATGCTCGTGTACATGCAAATGAACGCCAGATCGAATCATTTAATCGGAAACACGCGGAAACATACATTCAAGTCGCCGTGGTTTATTTTTATACGGCCGTTTGTTTTCAAAAAGATTTGTGGCCACCATCAATGCCATCATTATAACATAATTTAAACATTTCTCAGTTTCGAGTAACGCTATTGATGTTATGATATTTCGAAAGTGTCTTACAGCAAGTTCGTAATATATTACAATATATTAATTCGGTTTAGAAAATTCACTCAAATGTTATTATATAAAAATTCAAATTATTTGTAACTGTAAATTAGTAATTGCAATAACAAAATTTTTAAGTTATATTTGTATAAACAATTTATTAATAAACTCTCGTATTGCAGCCTTATGACAGCAGGCAACTCATGGTCACCATATTCGTTTGTTTATGGGGCGTCCGTCTTTCTGGATATCTGCTATATCGAATTATCAAAATTGGCCGTGACAAAAGGTTTGAAGATCGGCGCAGCAATGTGATTCGATTCGCTGTATTTTGGACGTTTCAAGTAATAGATATTTCCAAAATTGCAAAGTTTAGTTACAATCAATTATTTATTAAGTCTGTAAACTTATTTTCAGGCTGTATGGGTTTACGTGGTAAGTTTACCAGTAATTATCATCAATTCACCACGGCACAAAATACCGCCTGCTCCTAAGACTATGACAACGTTAGACAGCGCTGGTACGGGGCTCTTCGTGACTGGTTTATTAGCTGAAACTTATGCCGATTTGCAAAAATTTTCTTTCAAACAGGATCCAGTAAATAATGGAAAATGGTGTAATGATGGTGCATATTCTATACTAATCTTCTTGATTATTATCTTTACTATTTTGTTATTTTTGTTGACGTCTTTTTATTTGTTAATTACTGATTGACTGTTACTTTATATTTAATTGCAGGATTATGGCGACTATCCAGACATCCAAACTATTTCGGGGAAATAGTGGTATGGTGGGGTATTTTTGTGATATCGTTGAACGTGATCGAAGGTATTGAATGGATCGCAATAGCTTCTCCAATTTTCACTACGTTCATTATTCTGTTCTTGTCCGGAATGCCTCTATTGGAAAGAGCTTCTGATGAGAGGTATCGCGAGTAAGTTCTCCAATTTATAATTCATATGATATCTCATCAGAACATCAATTTTTATTCTCTTTTTACTCCATGCTTTGTATCAATAAGGAAAACCAGTTAAAAAAAAAAATATCTTTTTATCATCTTTCAGTAACGCCGAGTATCGTCATTACAAGCAATCCACATCACCGTTAATCCCCATGCCACCATCCATCTACGTTGAGGTGCCACACTTCCTGAAATTCCTCTTCTGTTGCGAGTTTCCACTTTATGATTCATTGGACGTGAAACCACGAGCAGCCGTCACTGAATCGACATCAATAAGTCTAGCTGCGTCCACTTAGCTATAGTAACACGCCGGACAATTAAATTCAAAGTCCGGCGTGCAGTCGTCCACGGCTACCACAGCCTTTTGAGGCAGGCTGTCATGACTCTTTGCATTTTATCGTACAGTTGTTTCGCATCGCTTATTTGAAAGTGATGGATAAGATATCACGTATGAGAAACTGTACGCAGATAAAGTTTGAAATGAACTGGACAAGTAATTGCCGCGTTTTTTAAAACGTTAATATATTGCAATAACATTTTTTAAAATCTGTAAATTGCAAATATTAATGTTTCTTGTGATACGAGTTAAAAAATGCAGAAAGTATTGTTAGATGAGAACATACAAGCAAAATAGAGTTATACAATCATGAAATTAATGTATATTACGATATTTTGCTACATAGTCTGTTAATTCAATTGGAGAAATTGTTTATTTTCAAAATTTATGAATTGAATTGGTTTGATATATTTCGAAAGTTTAGAATGTTAAAAATTCTATTATTATTAAAAGATATATTGCAAGATGTATAAAGAATATAAAAAGTTAAACGTTAAAAGCACTACCTCGAACATGATGCTCTCGATCTAAAATCGAATCCATCATGATATTTAGATTAATATGTATATACTTAAAAATTAATGATATACATGAAAATATAAAAATAAATATGCGATAAACTCTCCTAGAGAATCGAAGCTATATAGTTTCTGCTGAATTTCCTTCTTTTTTTGTAAAATATTTGACAGCAATTTATTTCGACTGTAATTACGAATATTTATTCATTTGTTTAAATATTAATCTTTTATAGACAAAGATCTAATTTTTTAAAAGTATTGTTTGTATTTTAACGATAATCTTCAGAATATGATTAAAAATAATTTTGGATCAGTAGGGACCATATATATAACGATATTAGTTGCTTGCTATTTTTACATATCTAGAGAACGAACTTTTGGAAAGTAACTTGCCAGCAAGTTAAAAGAATAATAAAACTATTTTAAAGCGATAAAAAAAGGATTAGTATTTATAAGTGTGTGTTTTTAGTTTCCAAAGTTTCATATTATTGCTAATTTATAAATCTATTATTAGTCTTTACACTTTGTTTAAAAGGAGGCTAATTGAAAAAAAGAAGTTACATAGAAAATAAAATGTGTAACCATAATAATCAAAATTATTCGAAAAATAAAAAGCTGTCTGCGTGATATTGAATAATTGTATACAAGTATCGTAGCATTAAATTATACATAGCAATATTATACATATCCCAGTACCGAGTAGAATAAAGCTGTAAGTAATAAAAAGTATTATTTAGCTGTATTCTTTTGAAAGCAATCATTGTGAAATCTCAAACTTCATTATAAAAATGAAAATAATTGTTAATTTCTAAATATTTTGGCACAAAACAATTTTGAAAAGAATACAGTTACAGTTGAAAACTACGCCAAATTAGAACTGTGTTATAAACGATACTGAAAAATCGTTTCAATTTGTTGTTGTGTAAATAATCTTCAAACTTTAGATAATAAACAAGAATTGGTCCAATCGTCTAATTATACTTTTATTCTATTTGTTCTCCGTTTTTATATCTTCGACTTATGGCACTTCTAAAAATAAACTAATATTAATACTATCACGGATATATTTCTTTTTATTAAATTTCTAACTCCATATTTTTATCGATATTTTTATTCTTATTCATTATTTATAATGCACATATTGTCCTACTCGGTTCTACTTATACTTCAATTTCATTTATGTATATATATATAATATATATGTATAAACTTATGCCAAAATTATGTAAAAAAAAAATTATTGATCATACAACTTACATACGATGTATGTACATATTTTTTATAGTTATAACATAATTAAAAAAAGGAACAGGAATTAAAATGAAAATTTATCTTAAAAACGAAAACTAAATTGCGTGTATCGCCTAACCTAAATCTGCATGCTAAATTAACATGTCTGCTGTTTAAAAATGTACAATAAGAAAACATGAAATAATATAAGCAAACTACAAGTAATATAAAATTAAGCCTTATTTTTCTTGTTTTGTAACTTGTAAAAAATATCGTTCATCATATCGGGTTAATTCAATTAAAGATCGATGAAAATTTCGTAAAGATCACATTATATTTATAAACACATTTTATTTGTTCGTATGTATATCGTTAATAAATGGTGATATAATAATGACAATGAAATGTATAGCGCCGAGCATAAAACGAGCAGTCATATTATAATTATTATTAATATTCCTCTTATAATAATCTTACTGTACTGGATGTGTGCCTACCTACTGTGCTTGCAACGTTTATGGTCTTGTCCAAGTGTTTTCTTCTTTACTTCTTGTATTTTCTTTTCCTTTCCTTTCTTCATCATCACTAATCTTTAATTATTTTATTATTTTAATCGTACTCGTAATAATTCATAATAATTAATAATAATAATAATGTAACCACGGGTGTAAACGTATGCGTTGTTCCTAAGGTATAAACAGCTTCCACACACTAATTGTTTACTTGTTTTTTTTCCGTTTGTCCTTTATGTAATCGTAATCGTCGTTTTATTATAGTAAGCTACTTAAATATTAATTATATTAACCTTGTGTCTTCGTGGAATTATTTTTTCTGACCGACGCTTTATTAAAAAAGCGAGCCTTGTACAAAAAAAACATTCAATTCCCGTTCGATATAACATTATACATCAAAATGTCTGTACGTGTGTGTACGCGTGGGTATGTAATGTGTTCTGTATGTGTATGTTGGTTTCTTTTCCATTTCGATGCGTGAAAGACACTTTTTTGTATTTCTTTTTTTTTTTCTTTTTCTTCTTCTTTTACTTTGTTATGTAAAATTTTTCTCACACATCCGAACAAAAATGTCATCTAATAAAGTTGAACTAACACACGGGGGGGGGGGGGCAGCACAACGTTTCATTCATTTTCTTTTTCTTATTTTCGTTTTGTTTCTGAATATCGAAAGGAAACCCAGATAGAGGAGATCGACGTTTGCCTAATGCCTCTTTCCTAGTTTCCTCTTTTTTTCGCTAGTATTTTTCCCTTTTTCATTTTTGTCTCGACGAAAGAAAAAGAAGAAACAAAACGCCTGAACGAGTTCAGAACGCGGTGACAGCGCCGTTTCCGCCGTCACTTGGATTGCATCCGCGTGCAATATAAATATCTCTAATAATATACAAATCACCGTAAATATCATTTATCGTCGATCCGTACTCGCAGATGATTCTTCGTTCGTCGGAGACACGTCAATAAATCGTAAAAAATGCCGCAACTCGACATACGAGCAAACGTGAAGAATTTACTTGAGCCATATAAAAAAATAAGAAACGATGAAAATTCAAGTCTCAATATTAAAAACAGTCTCCATCCTTTTGTCCGATGCGATCTAACGATCGATCTCTGGATAATTGTAAGAAGAACGATTCTTCAGAGATCATTTGGACATTTGAATGTATCAAAAATGAATCTATGATATATGTTTTGAATGGTGATCATTTGAATGGAGTCTGTTGTGTCAGGAGAATGATTAAAAAAAAAAAAAAAAGATAAAAAATGCGAAAATATACATACGTATATATAACTGAAGAGCACGATCAAACGAAGATCATAATGTGATATACGGTACGTTGCTGGAACGCTAGGTACATAACTCATTTTGCACAGTAAGAGCCAATGGTGTAAGAAGCGACCGCAAGACGCCTTCTCCCTGAATCAGTATCAGGGGCGCTATCTATCGTCGTGTATCGCAACTATAAATGATCTTGCTCCTTCGCATTAAACCGCGCATCGTATACAATTACGCATCATGTCTAATCTACACGACGGATACGATGCATTTCATTTTGGCCACTGTTCATTGAAGATCTCTCACACACCTGAATGTATCAGGCTATTGCATTTGATATATTGCAAAACCTACGATATTCTAATGACTTATGAGATAGCCCCATTCTGTTATTAATTTCTCCTCTCTTCCTTTTTTTTTTTTTTTTTCTTTTTTTAATCCATTTTTCATTATATTACCTTTCGTAGGGGGAAAAGGGCCCTGGGTCGAATAAAGTTTGTTCGATTCTGGGTGTGCTGGGGTGTCGATGAGAAATGGCATAACGTGTTACGAACGTATATAAACGAAGTATTTAACATTATGAGCCTATTAATATCTATGTGTATAAGTAGAGAGCTCTAACCTGAAACTCCCTTACCCCTTTTTTACTTGCACTCATGAAATTTCATTCGCTCAAACTTTCACTCTAATCTCTTTATCATTCTTTTTATCATTCGTGTCTTTGCATTCATTCTTTCTCTCTCTTTCTTTCAACACATTCTCTCTCTTTCTCTCTTTTCCTTTTTTTCCATTCTTTTTCTGTCGAGCATTCCACATAAAATTGCATTTACACACACATACACACACGCATTTTCTCTCTCTCTCCTTTTTCAAACCTCTCCCCCATCTATATCTCACCAGATCACACCCTCAATTTTCTTCAATTTTAAATCTTCTCTTTTCCCCTTTTTTCCCTTTTTTCGAACGACTTTTATTTGCTTGCATGTTCATTCGAGACAGCTTATTTCCCTTCCTTCTCCTTTTCTTTGTTCTCGTCAACCTCCTTGTCCTTCTCTAGCTCTTTTTCCTCCTTGTCCGCCTTTTCCTTGTCACCCTCCTTCTCCTCCTTCGATTCCTTCGACTCTTTCACGTCTTCTTTGCCCTCTTTCTCGTCTTGCTTCTCTGGCTTCGGTAGATGCGTATTCATGTCAAGGGTGGAGCAGATCTCATCCCAATCCGGGAAGCATCGCTCCTTCATGCGCGAGCAATGACCAACCAAATTTGGACAATTCTCCTGCATGTAGTCTCGCAGACTATACGGCGTGTCTTTGTCGATATAGAGGATTTGGGCGAGGTGAGCGAATGCGACCACATCCAACTATTTAAAATATAAAGAAATTTAGAAAGAAATAAAATATAGATGAAGATTACAAAGCAAAATACTATAAGTACATTTTCTTTTTTAAAGTTACTCTAAAAAATATTTTAATATAGAAATACATCCTCGAAAATCAAATGGCAATTTCGATAATTTAAGATTAATTGACAACGTATATTAAATTAAATTTAAATATTACAAATAAAATATATGACTTATTGCATTTTTTTACTGTAATCTTCAAAAAGGTTAACAAGTAACTAAGCAAAAATTTACCGTAGTCGGTTCGTCTCCGAAGAAGAAGGGCTTGTCGGCGAGTATGTCAGAAAGAACTTTGAGATCGGCGCAACCGAATTGGGACACCTCTTCTGGAGTATGTACACCCATGCCTTGCGCCTTCACTTTCTTTGCACCCTGGAACAAGTACTCGTTGTACTGATTCAAATATTTAAAATATTACATTTCATATAATCATATAATCTCATTCTATTAACTCAAATATGTCTAAGATATTTACTTTTATTAAAGTTTCTCTTTTCCCTATTTGAAATTAAAATTGGACATATTCACTAAATTTTTATACTATTACAGAAACTATCTATAACCAAAAAATATTGATTAGAATATATATCTAAAAAAAAAATTGCTGAATATAATAAAATTATTTCATTCTTTTCGGAAAATGTTGGACATATCTGAGTTAATTATTATACATGCTTAAAAAATTGTTCTTATGTGCTACAATGTACTAAATATAATCGCCACCTAAGTTAGTTTCTTTTATACACGGAACTCTTATCGCGTTTGACAATTTTTATTAATTATCAAAACATAGTAATCACTAATATTGAATATTTAAAATACAAATAACATTGTGGATATAAAGAATAGATATTTACCTTACGTCCGAATGTAAGCTTGAAGAAGAAGTTGAGAATACCATTAGGGATGCGAGTGCCGAGCGCGTGCTGGAGGTTCACCTTGTAACCCTTTAAAACCTGATCGAGATTCTTGATACGCCAGCACATGACCACCCAGACCAGATGGTTCTCGATCATCGATATCATTGCGTGAGAAACGCTTCGTTGCTCGGACGTAAGAGCAGCATCCAAATCCTTGCCGAATTTCGCGCTCAATTCACGAAGGATTATTGTGCTGTCCGCGATTTCTTCGCCGTTCAACTCGACGAACGGCAGTGCACCCTTTTTAGAGCGGAACTTCATCTTATGGTCCACATTCTGAAACAGACACAAAAATAAAATGTCAAATCTTTTTCTTCTCGTAATTATCAGTGTATTACATGTCACTAAAAGAAATTTCCCTCGAAAGATACGTAAATTTGGAATTCGCAGTGAAAAGTACGAAAACACTCTAACTCGAGATGAGAATAAGTACATTAAAGTAAAAAATCAACTGCTATCCTTTGTGATTTAACGCTGATCACTTTTGGTAAGATTGAAAAGATTTTCCGTCAATTCTTTTCACAATCTTTTTCACAATAAATATTACTTTTACATTGTATACAATGCACAGAGTAATAACAAATATTCCCTCTTGAGACAGACACGATTTACATTGAATATTTGGTACGCAATGTTCGAAAGCGCGTGTACGCGCGTGGGATCGGAAGCCTTTGCGATACAAACGATGGATTCACAGGAGAAAAAAAAACTGGAAAAAGTAAAAGAACACCAAGGGGCTTCGACAGCTTCATGGCTAAGGCGCTTGTTACTGGCGCTGGTTGATTCCAGTTTGAATTCTAATGCAAATAAAGATATTCTTCTTTCATAAAGAAAATTGTACCTCTTCTCTTTGTCCATATATAGGTTTATATCTATTTGTTAGGTTTAAATATTTGCATTGATATACAAGAACGCGATCTATTTATGTGCATCAACACCACACACAGGCTACCTCCATCAGTCAATACGATATCTAGTGTCCTTTACAGGTGGATCATATTGCAAAACAGTATTGATAGCGTGGTATACGTCTGTGAAAGATTTCACTGCATTATAACTTCGAAGTAGAGGACGACTTCGATGAAGTTCGACGAGCTTCAGGAATAGTAAAAATCTGTCTTAAATAAAACTTAAAATTCCAGTGTGTAACCATTCTTATATGATTGAGGTGTACAAAGAATGAATCGACAGAAGTGAAAATTAATACGCATACAGTCTACTTTCTTGAAACTCCGTTTACAATGGTACAATTTAAAATACTATCAATGGATATAACACGTTTCAGAGATTTCACCTGAGTGGATAGGGAACTTTCTAGCTATTTGCTGGCCATCTGTTAGCACATTTTATTCTAAATGAACTTGTGGCCTAGAATCTCTCGATTTACAACTTTCTGCAAATTGGTACAAAATGATAAACGACATAACCTATAAATTTTTATTGTAAACTTTTCAAGATTTAATAGACGCAACAATAATACTAAAAAATAAATTCTGCTTGGTACAGTGAACACAATTTCTCATTAAAAAAAACTGTGTTATCTCCATTTACTTAAAATCATATACACGCTCGATATTTAGAATTCTCGACGATTTTCTAAAAAAATCAACATGACGTCGCTGCCGAATCGAATCAATTCGCCGTGAACAGAGGGATGATACCATCAACGGGGGGGGGGGGGGGGGGGGGACAAAGAAAATGCTAAGAAAACATATCAATTACGAATCGACAAGTGGAACAAGCGGTGCGCGTTCGCGTCTATAGAAATCACCTGAATTAACCATACAATAACGCACGAAGAGACCGGAGCATCGAGTCCGGTCCCACGAAAAGGGGAACAACGTCGTGATATATACGTGGGAATACCTCTTCGGAAAGAGCTCATCATCGTCGGCAATCAGCGCGTGCAGCTGCACCGTCATCGGAAATAAACGAAAGTAAGTCGAATAGGAAGATCTCTCGGTTCGACGGTGGGTGGGGGGAGGATGCACGAGGACGAGCCCTAAAGAGAATACAGCACGCGCAACCTCCGTGCGTATCATTTCTGTGTGAGTGATAATAGCGATGATGGAAACGACGTGGACGTTTACGACGACGACGACGACGACGACGACGATGGCGACGGAGGTGCAACGACTGTTTTGCAATGCGAGCGCATCGTGATAATGGTGAGTAACGAACGGGCGGCACAAGAAGAGGTGGGAGTAGGAGAGACGAGAGAAGAAGCAAGGGAGAAAATGAGAAGAGCGGCAGAGGATATATGCCAATGTGAATTTCAGGCAGGAGAAAGAATCTAGGGAGAGAAACGCGAGACGGGGAAGAGGAACAGGCAAAAAAAAAAAAAAAGACAAACAATCGAGGGGAAGGGAAAGCAAATCGAGAAAAAGAGAAGCTTAAACTGGAGGGCAGAAAAAGAAAACACCGGGTACACATGTGCGTGTCGGTATAGCTGGAAAGATAAAGGGATTTGGATAAGATATACATATACATATATATATATTCTTCCCGTTGAAATATTGGAAACGAGCATTAGGCTGGACATCGAACTCGCCGCGCTGTGTTTGAAACAAATACAACGTGCGACAAGGAAAAATGGAGAAAAGAAAAAAAATGGATGGAGAGTTAGACGTTGAAGCCATATCCAGACAAGAGGCGGGCAAAGGCAACGCGACTTGAACAGAGAGAACGCGCGAAAATCCGATATGCTGTGGCGGAATTAAATATCCTCTGACGTAAAATCAATGAACATGGTCGGTACTGATTAATTTGCGGGTCCATGCTTTCGTAGATGGCGCGAAGATCGCAGAGCATTGTGGGTATGGTCCGGCGACGATCGTTAAAAACGTCCGTATATGCATTCAAAAGTGCATAATAACCGGGAGAAAGAGAGCGAACCGCCACGATGGGATATCGCAGAGAAGAGCGTATCAATTTCGAGAGATGAAAAGTCGAGCAGAGGCGGAAGGTAGGTGGAGTACAAATTACCGCGGGGCAGCTGTCCTCCGTTTGCGATTCCACGAGTATATTACACGAGTCGACCGCGCATGCGCACTCTCTGTATACGTTCGTCTGTCGTCTACATCGAGGGGAGCTGGGGGTTGAAGAAGGAAAACATACCGACGAGGAAGGGAAAAATAAATGCGCGAATGTAAAACGAGAACAGGAGGAAGAAAGAGAGAAAGAAGAGAGAATCAAAGAAAAGGAGAGGATAAGTAATTTTCTTTGGACGAGAAGAGTCCCCGAGAGAACTAGACTCTTCGATAAAGCCGCAGAAAACGGTCTGGAGAAAATCAGACTAGAGAAAAAACATTGCTGCCGAACCGCCGTGGAGCGATGTGGAGAAAATACGAAACTTGAAGAAAAAAGACTGGCGTACTCTATTTAGGAGGAGGAAGAAACAGATTGAAAGAGAAAAAGACGAGACGAGAAGAACGAGAATGTAAAAGAGAAGTCAGAGAGGGAATCAGGGAGTGGTACAACAACGAACCATCAAGGAGGGGGAACGCGTGGGGTTAGAGAGGGAGAGAGAGATAGAGAGAGCATGAAAAACGAGAAAGAGCGAGAACAAGGCAAAGTCGAAAGGCGCGGGGGAAAGAGGGGAGGAGAAGGATAAACGGAGGGTGAATGGGTGGGTGGAAGGGAGAAGAAACATGCCGGAGGACGATGAACTCTGGCGGTAGGCAGCTTCCGTCGCCTGGCAACGTTCTCCTCCCTTTTCCTCCTCCTCTCTCCCTCAGGCATCAAGCCGTTATGTCGTGGTATCGTACGTAGGCAATCCTCGTCATGAACGTAGTAGTCGTGTCATCGTCTTCGTCGGTGACGATCATGGTAGTCGTTGCTGTATTTTCACGTAGTCGTGACTCGCAGCTTGCGCTGCGTATTGATCGTACGGGATGCTGCTGCTACTGCTGCTACTGCTACTACTGCTGCTGCTAGCTGTTGCTGGTTACTGGCTGCTAGCTGCTCCAGCGCCAGCTAACAGTGAGCCCTACACCAAGGACCAATAGGGTGCCAACACTCTCTCTCCCTCTCTTGATTTTCAATATACTTGGTTTATACCCACCACTACGGATTTCCAAAAATGAAAGTAAATGTGATAATTTTTTTTTTTTTTTTTTTTTTAGGTAATTGCTGGTTGATTGATTCCGGCAGAAGTGGTAATTGATTATAGAGAAACATAGGAAGACAATGACCAATATTTTTTCAGTTGCACCCTTTGAGGAATAAAGGAACGGTTTGTAGTTGGAAAATAGAATGTGTAGGTTGAAATTGGAAAATAGTACAGACATGAAACTGGTACAAAATATTATATTACATTACTGTGAAATATTACATATACGAGAAAATCTTGGCCACAATTTTACACAATATATCCTGCACATACTCAGAGTCCATCAGTCATGTAGCACATGTGTCGCATGTGTGCGAAATGTGAACATGAAACCAACGACCCGACTTCTGCCTATCAAACGTCGAACCTTCATCTAATTATACTACGATCTTAAAATAACCTAACTTCATCATTAACTACACTACACCTATCATTTGTACAAATAATACTACACGCTGCTCTTTCTTTACCAGGTACAAAAGAGAAAAGAGACATGTTTTATAACTTAACTATATTTCTTCTAATATACGAGGGATATAAATGAATCGCAAATATCGTGAGTAACTGTAATTACTCTATTAACTCTATTTTAATCATTCGCTATGGCCAAAGTATCAATATACCGAAATATATGCTCCAGCATGTATTAAAATAATATATAGGCTTTCGAAAATGATTAAAAAAAATGCATGAAACATAGAAATGGACATAGAACATAGAATAAATACATCCACAATATTCTCATTGTTCGCCAATTGCAGGAGGAAAGCGCGCGTTCACCGACACCTACGCCTCGGTGCAGAAATGTCGGACAACTATCAATGGTTGGAACACGTCCGTAGTGTCTCGATGAAAATACCGGCGAAAGGTGAATGGTTTGCAGTACGTGAAAATAGTTTCACTACACAAGGCTAGCTATGTCGTAAAGTCGGCCGTAGCCGGGAAGAACCGATCGAGCCGAAAACGAAAGCAAACGCCAGGCCGTGACTGCCAAGTCCAACGAACCTGCCACTTGGCAGCCGACATTCGTATTCAAAAGTAACTTTAATACAGTTCAACTTGCCTAAACCTAAATCCACTTTAACCGTAGAAGCGTTGGTGCTGGCACAGAAAACTGTCACTGGCATCCGAGGAATTGACGACGGTGATCATTCACGACGGTCAGCCGATGAGTCAGCCGATTTTCTTCAATGAAATTTCTTCCTTATCCCGTATTATCAAGCACTGGCGGATTTAGAAGGTTCCGATCGAACGTGAGAAACACGTATGCGAAATTATTATTTGATGCACAAGGATGAATCACGTAAATGACTCACGGAGGGAATAGATGCGCAGGGTGTAATTTATGCATGCACGCCGTTGGAACTAAGTTTACAAAGTGTCCCGCGTAATTTATAGCCACGTAATACGTGCGCAACTACTTTGACAAGGAAGCAAAGTTGTAAAATAGAATGTGTTATTTTATTGACAATTTATAGGGTTCAGTTGCAAAATGTGATACGAGATCTTTACAAAGGGATCTTTAGTGTCAAAACATAGGTTTCGACATGAAATATAAATACATAGAAGACGATACTTGATCAATAATGTAGGCCAATAGAAAATACTTTGCCAATACACAAAGATTGATAGACTCCAGACAAGTTAACCCAAAAATACGGTTCCCCTTGTTGAGCATCCACTTTTTACAAGCAATATAGCTTCGAGGGGGGAAAAAAAAAAAAAAAAAAAGGAAACGTGAAATTGCACAGCGTATCTGACAATGGTGCCTTCTCGTCAACGACTCTCGCGGAAAATATCCCAGACTGCGGAAGGAAGTTCCCTTTTTTCTTTCTCGTTCTCCTCTTTTTCTTTGTGTACCCCTGAGCAACGAGCAATTTGTCACGTAAAATGGCCGTAGCCCGGTCACTTTGATGCGCTTCGACCTTTCGAGTCTGTCGATACATCTACACATCTACACAACTACACCGTAATGGAGAGAACTGAAAGTGCTCCCCATTTTCGTAGTCCAACTCGTACACACCGCGCTGGCTGGCCTATCTAACCGTTAACAAATGACCCCATCGCTCGGTTACATCCACTGGTTGACGAGAAAGAGAGAAATATAACGAGGAGTTTAGAAAGGAGAGGAACAGAGACTTTCTGGACGTGACGGCATCGTAGTACCCCATAAATTTCCCTAATGGGCGTCCTGTCGCGATGTTCAGAAACTGTAAAACGAGTGGGTCCTTATATTCTCCTCGTGGCCTTCACACCGATGATTAACTTCGCGGGATTAAGAGGCTGAAAACGATACAAGGACAAGGGAAAGAAAAGAAAAAAAAAAAAAAAAAAAAAAA